ATATACTCTAAGGAAAATATAACTGAGACACAAATGGAGATTTGAACACCAATGTTCATAACAATGTTATGTGAATTGTGAACAATGCTCACAATTACAAGAACATGGAAACAGCACAAATGTCCAACCGCAATCAAACACTGAGAAAATGTGGTATATTCACACATGGAATGGAATTCTACACAGCACTCAGGAACAACATTTTTGGAAATTATTATATAACTTGTGAGAAATTGGAAACAAGGATGGTAAAGCCTGGGCTCGCAGACTTTGGTTGGTCACGCTGCTAGAAGAGTCTATTTCTCAGAGTAGGCCATCATGTCTGGAAAGTTGGAGGAACAGCAGAGGAGAGAAAGACTCTAAACCAGGTGGAATGACACAGTGACTGCACAATGGACTTGACAATGTATCAGAGACTGTGAAGATGGCACCAAAAAAATAGGAGAGTTCAGGTCAATTCTTCATAGGGTTGCTAGGGGTCGTATGCAACTAGATGTAACCTAATAACAAGAAGCCACCAGATCCCCTTCGAATCCCTTAAAACAATACAGTTTGAGAGTATACTTAGTTAAGTCTTCTGTACTTCCTTATACATGGTAACATTAAAGCCAACAGTATGTTGGGCCAATACCTGGCATTACTAAGAATTAAATCATGTTAGGAAAGCTATAGTGGCATAGTCAATAGGGATTTGTGCTGCTAACTCAAAGTGGCACCTCTCAGGTGCTTCTCTAGGACCTGTGGGTCTCAGAGAAAAATGTGAGAAATTCCTCCCATGAAATTTCCAGCCTCTGAAAACTTACTGGAGGGAAATAAGTCAGTTCTGACCTTAGAGGCAATGAGTTTCAGTTTTGTTTTCCCCTCACACTTTAAGTCTCCCCACTTTTGACAAAGATGTCCCTAGATGTTGTCAAATATTCTTTAAAACTAAAATACTCATTGCCATACAACCAGAAATGACTCATAGCTGACCTTCACATGGATTTTCTGAGGCTGTAAACTGCATGGAAGGAGACTGTCCATCCTTCTGCCACAAAGTGACTGGTGGATTTGAAACACCAGATGCACCACTAGTTAGCAGTACAACTTCCTATAAACTAGGCTACCAAATCTCCCTTAGGAGGCAAAATTATCCCAGATTTATACTCTTAAGCGATATCTGTTACATCCTTTATTGAGAAATAAATATTATGCCAGAAAGCAGTGGGAGGACAGAAGGCAATACTCTCACCTTCAACCAGGTAAAAGAAAGAGTGTCTGCGGCTTCTCAGGATTCCTTTCCAAGAAGTGAACTGAGTGATTTGAGATCTTCACCCAAAAAATAAACCACAAAAAAAAAAAAGGCACCACAAAAATTCTAACTTCAAAAGCAGCCAAACACCAAAGCCTATTTATGGATGTGGGGACAGAAGGGAAAAAGGAAAATATCTAGAGCTGAGTCTCTATTTCAAAGAATACATTTGGCTTCTAGCCTAACAACTCAAGACACAAAAAGAGACAGCTCACCATGGTACGCGCGAAGGGTACTCTGACACTGAATCAACGAAAACAGCCTCTTCCATGCCACCAATCACCACTAATATAAACACTAAAGATGTAAACATTCAGTCACAAGAAAACACAAAGAATATTTTGTAAGGCAGTTTCTTAAACATTTGCAATTCCAAGAATTGAACTTTTTATATTCAATAAAATGTAGCTCATTACCCGTTGGCAGATAAAATTCTATGGCAGTAACTCAAGACAATAGCTTTGGGATGGGGAGTGCAGGCTGCATGTGACCCTGTGCACACACTTGCATGTGAATGCACACATACACACACAGAGAGAGAGAGACAGAGAGAGAAAAATGGATTTTTTAGAGGGTTATATGTCAGGTTGGAACTGATGCATAGGTGACCCTCCAGTGGGTTTTCAGAAGCTGTACATCACATTGGAAGAGTGTGCCCAACTTTCTCCTAAATAGCACCTGGTAGATTCAAATCAACAGCCTTAGTTGTCAACACAACTCCTTAACACTAGGACACCAGGACTCCCTGATCTTTTTGGTATTTAAGAATATTTTCATCTCTGTTCTTTTAAAAAATCCAACTCTACTTCCTTTATTTCACTATTCCAGCTTTAAACATCTATAATTTAATGTGTTTTTCCCTTGTAATTCATACTAAGTGTTAAAATCAAGCTAAAACTAGACAGTGTATTTAGACAATAGAGTAGAGAGTACTGTCAGTCTCAAGTTTCCTACTCACAGTGACCCTCTAGTGTATTTCTGAAGCTGAAATTCCTAGCAGGAGGACAATAACCACCTTTCACCCATGAGCTACAGTTGGGCTAGAACTGCCAACCCTTCGGATTTGCAGTGCAACCAGCTAGAGACTTTGTCACTAGAGCACCCTTCCCATCAGCAGGACATACTTAAGTGCCTTTGAGTCAACTGTAACTCATAGCAACCCTATGAACAATGGATCTAAACCCTTTCTTGCCCTGTGCTATCTTCATCTTCTCTCCCACCACTACCATCACTGTGTCAAGGCACCTCATTTAGTTTTCCCCTCCTCTGCTGCCTATCTTTCTAAACGTGATGTCCCTTTCCAAGGACTGGCTCCTCCTAACAACATGCCCAAAGGATGGAAGGAGAATTGTTACTGGTTTTGCCTCCAAGGAGCATCTCTGCTGAATCTTTTCCAAGACATACTTGTTTGTCCTTTTAGCAGTTCACTGAATATTCAGCATTCTTCTCCAGCACCACAACTTAAGATATTAATTCTTCTTCTGCATCCTTATCCACTGCCCAACTTTCAGATGTGCAGTGAATAACAGGTGCACCTTAGTCTTCAAACTGCTATCTTTGCTCTTCCACACTATGAAGAGGTCACTAACAGCAGACTTTCTCAATGCAAGACACCTTTTGATTTCCTGGCTGCTGATGTGAAGAGATTTATAGTAAATCCAAACAAGATGAAGTCAGTGACAATTTCTATCTCTTCTCCATCTATCATGATGTTGTCTACTGGTGTGGTGGTAAAGAATTTTTTTTCTTGATGTGAAGACATACCCCATATTGAAAGCTGCAGACAATAATCATCTGCAGCAAATGTTTAAATCCCTCCTCATTTTCAGCATCCCATCACTGGTGAGTATAAACTACTTAACTTATTAAAGTTGTCATGAGGATCAAATAAGGTTCTGTATGGCCAATACGTGGGTAGCTGAAATGCACTCAAAAAACAGTATCACTACTGTTGCAAGTATTTACATTTTAACTTCTCTGAAATTCCTGTTTGCTCCACTAAGTCACAGAAAAACACATGTTTATGCATGTTGTGAGAAAAAAAATGACATTTCACAAGCACATCTCACACACTACTTGCCAACACAAGATGAATTTTAGTTATGATAACATAGTATTATGATAGAGCAAAACAAAAACTGGAAAGGTCCTGTATTTTGTGTGAATAGACACTTAAAAAAACCCTCTACTAATGCTCTACAAACTCTCTAAACTCGATAAAGGTACAGAAATGATGGTAGTTTTAGTACAGAAACGATATTAGTTATAGAACAGAGTTTAGGTCTTTTTTGCAAAACTTACTCTTACTTGTATTCGACTTGACGACACTTAACCACTGCTAAGTGAAACTAGTGTTGTTCTATCTGGAGGAACACTCGTCCACTTTGTACATCACTCTTTGTCAACGTGCAGTATGAAGTAACCTGGGTTGCTGTGATGCTGAACCTTGTACCATTGGGGTATCAAATACCAGAATGATTTCCCTATGTGGACAGTGTTTGGTGGAGCTTCCAGTTGTTAAACAGGTTTGGAAGCAGGAGTGGCATCCAATTCCTAAACCACAAGCCTCTGGAAACTCTATGAACTTTGAGAAATGATGATAGTTATGAAAAGGAATTAGGTCTTTTGTTCACAGAGTCGCTAGGAATTGCACCCGACTCGGTGGCAATCAACAACAACAACAATGCCAATTACATGTTACTCAGCCCCTAGCCAGTGTTTCTTCATGCTTTAAAAAAAAAAAAAATCAGAAACAGAATCAGAGCAATACTATTTTAGGCTGGAGAGAATGTTACACCAAATTCCAAAATTACAATACCAGCTTGTTCAAAATCAACAGTAAAAGGTCAAATATTTTCCAAGGAAGCCTGAGCTTCGTTTTCTTTGTTAATTAACAAAACTCTATGGAAATTTTTCTTCCCACTAACCAAGCCTACTATTGTTGGTGACTGAAAACGTTAACACTAATATGCTATTGCTATAGTGCACTGAGGTGTTCCTCCAGAATTTTAATAAAAGGCATTACCCAATTAAAAAGTAGCTCCACTGAAGTGACTCATTCCAAAAATACTTAGAACAATCTAAAAGGTCTAGGTTCCAATGTCAACTCCTTTCCCAGAGTCCTACTCCAAAGAAAAGACAACTGTTCTTTAATTCATACTCTCTGGAGTAAATATGGGTCTTTAATCAAGTGCCAGCCTGGGGTAGAAGGAGCTGGGAAATACACTTCCAAATACTCCCATGAACGGGTTCCATTAAGACGATTCAAACAAGAATACAGTTAAAGCAATTAATTCATGAGTGAGTGAGTGAATGTATGTGTGTGTGTGTGTGTGTGTGTGTGTATGTGTGTGAGAGAGAGAGTGTATGTGTGTGTGTATGTGTCCTTCCTTGCCCCCCCGCCCCCGTGCCCTACACATCCACAGGTCCACCCACAGCTCACTGCTAGCTTGCCAGACTTTGCAGCCACTATAGTGAGATCTTGGAAGGCTGGAGGGGGGGAGCCTCTGAGATCCTGCCCCCACCTCTCCAGCTCCAGACGAGGCACGGGCACGAGACGAATATGGTATTAGATCACACCAGGATGGGGCTCTGTACCCCGCAACTTCACCCAGTTTTTGCACCGCTGTCTAGGATCTTAACTGTAGTGCCTCGGTTTCCTCGACTGCAAATGCGGACCAGAGCCCCCCGGGCCGCTGCGCCCGCTCACCTGCACGCTAGGGAAGGCGGTTTTGAGAAGGTAGAACATCTTGCGGTTGGACAGCACGTCGCCGCTGGTCATCTTCTCGTCGGCCCCCTCACGCGTCTTGCCCTTGGTCTTCTCGTGCAGAGAGTTGCTCTCGCGGATGCGCTTCACCTCCTCGCCGCCGCGGACGGCGGCCAGCACAGACACCGCCAGCAGCTCGCGCAGGTCCACTGGGCCCCCGTCGGCCGCGGGCGCGGGCCCCGCCGCGCCGCCGCCCGCCTCACCACCCAGGCCGAACAGGCTGAAGCGGCCGGCCAGGAAGCCCGAGTAGAGGTGGTAAAGCACGCCGAGCCCTAGTAGGCAGAACACGGCCACCCCGAGCGGGGACAGGCGGATGCCCATGGGAGCCATGGTGCCGCCGCCGGGCCCGGGAGACCGCCGGCACAGGCTTCCTCGGCCAGGCGCCGCGCGGACTACACAGGAGACCGCTCGTCAGCGTCCGCGCGCCCCATCGGCTTCTCCCCGGGTAGGTCTAGCCCTGCCGCGAAGACCCCCGCGGCTCCTCAGAGCACCCGGCTAACTGCGGACCGAGCGGCCCGCTCCAGGCCTGCCGGCAGTTCTCACCTCCACGTTAGCCAACCACCCTGAGGTGAAAGGGGAGCGTGGGTGTGTATCCGGGTTACGCAGGGGGCGGGCCCAGGGTCGTGGGGCGGGACCAGCGTGGTCCCGCCTTCGGGGGCGTGACCAGAAGCCTGAGTGGCCGGTCCTTCAGCGCAGCTTTACTTGGTTCTCCTGGAGACTTTGGATCTATCCAGCAATAACATTTGAGTGTTACAGTCACTTCCAAGCATGGCTTTCCCCCCAAGGTTACTAACTGTTATGTGCCGTCAAGTCGACTAGACTCATAGCATCCCTATGCACAATAGCTCTGAATGCTGCTCTATCCTGAGCCAATCTCACTTTCTCTGACACACCTACCCTCATTACCCCAGTTATTGTGTTAATCCATCTCATCCGGGGTCTTCCTCTCCTGAGCTGTCCTCGACCTTTTCAAGTATGCTATCCTTTTCCAAAGACCGGTCTTTCCTGAATATGTGAGACGGAGTCTCAAAATCCTTGCCTCGAAGGAGCAGCTCTCTCCAGAACAGACCTGCTGGTTTTCTTAGCAGGTCGCAATATGTATATTCAATACTCTTATCACAACTCAAAGGCATGAATTCTTTTTCTGTCATTCTTGGTCAATTTCCAGCTCTCTGATGCATGGCAAGTAATTGCTAATACCATTTAGTCTCTAGACTAACATAGATGCTGAGAGGTCCCTGAAAGCAGATTTTTCTAAAGCAATTGTTGCAGATATTCAAGTTAAATCTTCTTTTGAATGACAATGGTAGCTGAAATAAAGTTCAAGTGACAGTTTGTTTTTGTCTGCCCTCAAATGGAAACTGACCCATAGCTGACCCTCCAGCAGTTTTTCAGAGGCAGTTAATCTCACAGGAGATGGCCCAGCTTTCCTCTCATGGAGCAACTGGTGCATTTGAATTGCCTTCCTTTGGGATTGCAGCACAACTCCTTACCCCTAGGCCACCTGAGCTACAACTTAGTCATCACCTTGTAACCACCCCAGGGACAGAGGGAAACTAGATTTAAAGAACAAATTTTTGAGCTCTTTTCCTTGGGACCTGTGAAAATAGAAAGTATCTGTGTTTCCAGGGAGCACAGGCTTACTAATAAAGAGTTGTCCTGCCAGCCCAAAGGTCCATGGTTCAAATCCACCAGCTGCTCCACACAAGACAGATAGGCAGTCTCCTTCCTTGTGATACACTGCATCTGAAAACCTCAGGGGTCAGCTATGAGTAGATTTTTACTTGACAATACATAACAACAACTGTGTTTCCAGATAAAATAGAGGAACAAGGCAGCATTCACTTGGTATTTAATTTTATTGGCATCTCCCACCATGCTATAAATGCTTATGTATTTTTATGTGTATGCAGACTTTCCTTTACTTGTCAGAATGGCCTAGTGTTAAGCTGCACTGCAATCCCAAAGGCACATGGTTCGAACCCACCAACTGCTCCATAGGAGAAATATGTACAGTCTCTTCCTTTGTAATTAATTTGCCTTTGAAAACCTGCTGGAGGGTCAGCTATGGGTTGGTTCTGACTCAATGGCACACAACAATAATAAGCAGCTGAAAAACATACTTTAACCCTAGGCTTTCATAATGAAAGAAAATACACCTGGCTTCTCTTACTTTCAAGAATATATTACCCCTGCCAAGTTCTCATAGGGTGAGTTGGGTAAAGAGGAATTTCCAAAGAGAAATCGCTTGATACACAATTTGTTCCAGGATGGTCCATCTATATACAAAATTAATTTACAATCCTTGAGCCAAAACTCACTTCAGTGAAATAATTATAATTCATATGATAATTCTGATTTTAAAATTCTGATTCATTCCTATTGGACAGGGTAGAACTGCCCCAAAGAGTTCCCAAAGATATAATCTTCATGGATGTTGACTGCCACTTCTGTCTCCCTGTTGAGATGCTGGTAGATTTGAGCACCCAACTGCCCTAACACCAGTGCCACCAGAGTTCTTTTTGAGTTAGTATCCTGAACCAACTTCCATCTGGTTATTTCTGACTCATAGCAATACTCCATTGGGTTTGGGTGTAAATATTTAAGGGAGCATATTGCCCATGTTTTTAATGGAAAAAGGCTAGATAGAGTACTTGGAGGCAAAGGTGGCAAAGCTTCTTTGGACCTATTACTAGGAGAGGCTATTTCTTGGAAAGGGACATCATGCTTGGAAAGATGAAAGGTCAGTGAAAGAAAGGAAGACACCCTCTTCCCAATGAAATGGATTGACACAGTGACTGCAGCAATGAACTTAAGAGTGTCAGAATTGATGAGGACGGCACAGGATAAAACAGGGTTCAGATCTATTGTTAATGGGATTGCTGTGACTCAATAGCACTTAACAGCAACAACAATAATCACCCATGTTTATCTCAAGGAATAGTTAGGTGATCCCACCTTGACTTATTGGTTATCAGCTCCATATACCACTACACCCCTATGAATATTCTATATAGAAGAATTTTATTAAATAACGACTAATAAGAAACTGCATTGCAATCCCAAAGGCCCAAATCCACCAGCTGATCCACGAGAGAAGGCTAGGCAGTCTCCTCCTGTGTGATTAACTGCCTTTGAAAACCTGCTGAAGGGTCAACTATGGGTCAGTTACAACTCAACAGTACATAGTAACAATAACAATAATAACGACAACAACTTTCTGTTACATTGTAGAAAAGTACTGACGGACCCAAGGACTGTCAAAAGAACAAACAAATACATCTTGGAGAAGGTGGCTCCTTAGAAATAAGGATAGCGAAACTTCATCTCACATACTTTGGGCATATTATTGGGAATGACCTATCTTTTAAAAATGACATCATGCTTGGAAAAGTGGAGGGTCAACAAAGCAAGAAAAAACATTGAGTGAAATAAATTGACATCATAACAATAACACTGGGTTCAAGTATACAGATGATGATGATGGTACAGAACAGGGCTGGGTTCAGATCCATTGTTCATAGGGCCATTATGAATCATAGCTGACTTGACAGCACCTAATAACAACAACTATAGAGTTGTTGTTAACAATAATAGTAAATATTTCCTATGGTTACTATTAGCACCAGAATTAGGTAAATTAAGCAAAGTTAGGTGGAAAGGTTATTAGAGAATATAACAATGAAACAAGGACTTTAAAATCATGTTAAGAGCCAATAGAAGGCAAAGGTCAAAAAAATGGCTAGGAACAGCTTCTACCCAACAGAACCAGGGAACCAATAACATTGGGCCTAAATGCCTCATTCCTGCAAGCATAGTAGAGGCTGCCCCTTGAAGGAGCATGATTACTGTTTTAGGCACAAGAGTGAGTAAAAAACCATGGACTGGGACTGCTGAGCAAAGTTTGAACTCTCTGGGACAATGGGCTGCTCAGACTCAAGCCTGGAAGCATGTCCAAATCAAAACTACATGGGACCCAATGACTTTTCTAAACATCTTGACTTTTAGAGAAATGGCCTGTCTCACTATCTGGGACATTTCTAATAAAACTATCTTTGCTTTCACCTTCACTCCTGTTTCCTTGCCTGTCCTCTCAGCTATGCGGTCTCACAAGGGCTTGATCCATGCTGGGACTCTCGTGAGCATATCATCATAACTAGGCCAAAACTAGGGGTTTCATCCATAACTGGTCTTTCTGTTGTCTCCCACCAGATTCAATTCTTTGAGCAAGTTGTCTCCCACCAGATTCAATTCTTTGAGCAAGGGAGACTGATCCAGAGCATTCACCACACACTGACCGTTACCAGGGATATGAAAAGGAGGGGACAATAAAAATAAATAGACAAGTTAAGTGAGGGAAAGACAATGTGGTGTCAAAGATGTATTTTTCAAAATGGCTATTCTATCCGTTGATTGACTTTAACTTTGCCACTTGGATGGTAAGGACATGTGAATAGGATATGTTACCTATCAACAAGAGAAATGAACAGATTCAGAAGCCAACTTTGGGAATCTCACCACCAGCACAGAAGCAGAGGATGCAGAGTATGTAGACTTTGTGACCAAAGATTCCTGGGCCACTTGGATTGGGGCCTACAGGAGAGCAGCGGCAGCAACAGCAAAGAACCAGAGACCCGGCAGGAAACAGACCTAGCTAGGAGCTACCCCACAGAACTGGAACCAGGGACATTTGCTTGTGCTTGCTGGAGAATCTAGGGAGACCGGCCATAATTGGCAGGACTAATATTACTATGTAACATTGGCCTAAAACGGAAAGACTTTAAGCTGCAAAACCTGTGGGCACACTTCAGAAGCTGTCCAGCCTGAGAAATTAATTTTCCTAATAAACTTTTCAATCATGAGTGTGGTTCTGTATGGTCTGTGGGCTACTGCAACAGACTTTGGACCCAGCAGAGCAGTTAAGCTTGCTGTTAGAATTAGTAGAAGTAAGTGCAAGAGTGTAGGGCACCATGTCTAACCTTACAGGAATTAGTTTTTTACTGTGGATGTTATTAATGAAGATAGTTCTCCTTTGTGGAGTTAGTAGAGGTCAGGTTTGATTCTCTCCACACTGCCCTTGCTCTTTCATATGGGCAATATGTATTTTGATCACACACTATAATTAATTATGTTGATCAACTGAAGAGAAGTCTGGTGACTCTCCTCTGTATGGTGTTATGCTGCTAATCCAAAAACCTAGGCTCTCTAATCACTTGAATGTACCAGTGACTGCATGAGCGTACACTATACAATCTTCTCTCGTGCAGTTTACAGTGTTAGAAACCCAAGATGGACAGCAATGAGTTGGTCCCAAGTTGACTGCAATGAAATGATGATAAATCCATTATAATTAATGTAAAACAAA